TGACTGTGACCCCTCCTGCGTGGAGATGCACCAACGGCTAGGGCTGGGTTCAACTGTGAGTTTGGAGATGTTTTGCTCGGCCTCCGATTGAACTTAAGCTCTGCAGGACCACAAAGAACCACAAATGCGTAACATTTACGTTGACCAGCTGCGTGAGTGAGCAAAAGCCACAACATTGTTCACCTCAACCAGTTGCCAAAGCATGGGCGGCAGGGATTGGGCCGGGGAGGCACTCGCAAGGCCCCCTGCCACACGATCTTTCTAGACCGCCCTTGACTGCTTGGTGTGCCACCGCCTCATCGCTCCGATAGTTGCGGCACGGTATGCCTGACTTGCTGCCCGCAGGCATGCAACACGAGTGGGTGCACCTGTTCGGAGTAGTTCCCAGTGAAGCGGAGGTTGTGCACTTGCAGCTTGGACTTCCAAGCCAGCCGGCAGTCAGCATGGCGAACGAAGGCATCACGCACGCACTTCAAGAAGAAACTTTGGCGTGCCGTCCGCTCTTCGTCGGCCATGCCGCCTTGATGGGCTGTGCTTTGTTTTTTTTTGTGATTCTAGCGCATGGCAGCAACAGGCATGTGACGGGTTGGTTGCTCACATGCTGCTTTTCCCTTGGCGAAGTTGAAGCTTACACTTCGAGCCTAATTACAGTCTTACAAACATGCAGAGATCCACAACCCTAACAAAAAATGGTAGCCGCACCTGGAGAGAAGCAGGATTACTCAGCAGTCAGCAGATTGAAGCGCGAGCAGCGAAGCTGTTTTTCCACCGACTGCTGTGACACCAGAATGGAGCGAACGACGTCCTCGGCAACAAGTCACGGGATCGACCCAAGACTTGCAACAGCCAGCCGACTACAGCAGGGTCCGCGCAACCGTATGTTGCCAAGTACGTTGTCGCTACCAAGCTGACACATTCCGATGGATCAGGAAGTCACGCCATCATCGAAACAATACAAAAAGGTACTGTCTTCAAGGCGTGCCCAGCGCTCTGTAACAACCTGCTTTCAACAATGCGCCGCTCACCGCGTCGAAAGCTGATGTGAGGGCTCTCGGCATAGCGATGCGAAAGCGCTGCATACTGTCTCCTGTCAAAGGCAGCCTTTGCTCAAAAACATGCACATCAAGCGTTTAAAGTCTGACTCCTGAAGAACTTGGGGAATTACTTCATAATAGTGATGCTTGCAAAAGTGCACAACCTGAACACGCAAAACACTCACCACATCAGGCACTCCAAACAAATGGATACAATTTTCTAAATTTGCCATACAGCTTTTTGAGCCTTCGTGAGGTTTCCTTGTATGTCAATTTCAGCGCTCGCGTCATCTGTGGTCAACTGCCGTCGTTGCTGCTTGTGGTTGTTGTGGTCGTGTCTGGTTACCTCTTGTATCGTTATAATGACGGTTCCCTTTGGCTATTGTTTCGCGTTGTCATAACTGTTACACATTATGTCTTCTTCAACGTGGTACTCCTGTGGTGTTTGTGTTCTTGTTTGCCTGCATCAACGTTGCGACAGTTGTGTACTTCTTATGTTCCGATGCTTGCTCTCTCTCACCAATATAATAGTCAGTCTTCGCCCTTCCTGATACACGTATCAATAAATGCAACTGTTCCGTTTGTTGACATGAGTGCCACCTTGCCTCAAGCCTTAGATATTTCCTGCTATTCGATAGGTCTAGTTGAATAAGTTCAGTTTTGCAACTAGCAAATCCGAATGCATTGCCCAAAGCTATGATCTCGAACAGTACCCCTTAGCTGTATCACCACTGCACAGCAGGTTGCATTCTGTCCAGTGTCTGCCTTTCTTCGGGCTAATTAATGTGTTGCCTGTGCTTCCAGAGTGCAATAAACAGCCGTGATCCCTACTGTTACAGGTCTGATGATTGATCATGCCTGTGTCTATGCAGAAGTATCACCTCTTTTACTGACCATCCAACCAAATAGACACCCTTCAATATCGTTGAACAGCTCTATATCGTTGGACGAAGTATAAAATCCATGCAGCACAAGGCTACAACAACCGGTTGATGGAAATGCGGTAAGTTTGAATCAGTATAAAGAAGTTGTATGAGTTCTTGGAGGAAGATGGTGCTGACAGGGGCGGAAGTAAGGACCGTTTATCGAAAGGGAATAATCGCAACATGATGACATCGCTTGAACAAAAAATGAAATGGCTGGATTGCGCAATAACCCCGGCAACAACCCAAACCTAGGCATTGGCGGCTACACCCAGACAAGGCTAGGTGATTGCCGCTTTTACGAACGGCTTGTTGAAAACTTTTTCCGAATACAAAGACCCACGAACACGAAGAAGGCGCCCTGAACCGAACATTACGTACAACTATGTGCCTGAATTTTTGTTTTGGTGTCTAGGTTCACAACAAATTGCTTTTTGTTTTTTGGGTTTTCCTAGGAAAACTTGGTTTCCCGGTCCAAAACAATCCGTTTCCTTGGAACAAATTGGTCTTTCGGTCCAAAACCATCCTTTTCCTAGGAATAGTTAGTATTTCATTCCGAAATCCAGGTTTTCCTAGCAAATAGTTTGTATTGCGCTTGTTGTTTGCGCACGTTACGAAATAGGTTTTCCAATGAGATTCCAGTGTGATTACTACCGGAATTCGATTCTGCTCAGCATTAATACTATACTATACAATATACTGGGTAATAACCAGTACATTATTGGGATCAGTTTTGGGGTCAATAGAGAACTAACTAGTATGGCAGGTTCAACACGGACCAGGACCCAGGATATCAGGGTCATGACTACTACCGCTACGATTTCTTCTAGCTAGCTGACCAATGTTGTAAATTTAATGAGAGAAACATCGGGGTCAGATTCTGGGTGGTGCCAAGCCTGCTAGGGATGGCCTTAGGGCCGCTGTCAGGGCGAGTATCACGGTCACCATTGACCAACGGGCGAATGGCACGGATGGGGTTGGGGTTGATGTTGATTGGGCTCAGGAGTCAGTTAACAATCCTCGTCATTACGTTGGTATCTAGTACAGGTTTTACCTTAGAGTTAGCATATTTATATACACACACCTAACTGTACATATACGCATATGGGCAAGTCCGACAGCAAGTCCGACATGATCCTTTACTACAGTGAGAAAGGGGGGCCATATACACTATGTTGAGGTAAACAAACAAATGCTTGTTTCACCCCTAAAAGCCTAAGGGCCATCATTTGGGGAACGCCAGAGCGAAGACAGCAAGGATCGTGGTTCTTATTGGAACTCGTTTTGTGTCGTGTATTATCAGCATGAATGTGACGTCTACTGTTGAAGTAAATGCTTGGGCAGTATTTAGCTTACCTGTATAAATATTTACAGCATACGTACATTCATAGCATATCTGAGCCACCACCATCATCATGATCACCACAGCGACCGCAATGACGAGGTTTAGAGCGTTTAGGGACAGTTTCGGGAGAATCGTTTCAGCTCCTGAAGCGAAGCCCAGGCCCGTGATCCCAAGATTGAGGACTTGGTGTTTTGGGAATGCTGCTGGAATCGGGGCAGCTTCGGTGATTTGACAATGCAGGTAAGCAAAGTTGAGCGACAAAAACTTTGTCACAGTGAATGGCCACATGTGTTGCATGAAGCAGCCTTTTTGTACTGGCCGCTAGTAACCCTGCAAACACATACCTACTCTCTATGTCCATATGCATTCAACCACGCCTGAACCGGGAATGTCTTCGCCGGCATGGAGGTGAGCCAAAGCCGGAAGTTGTTCGACATCGTCTCCTGAAGCTAGAAGGGGAGGGAACTGCCAAGAGTCAACGGATTAATCTGCATACATATGCTTGTCCAGGTCTAGGTTCAGGGAAGCAGCTGTTGCGACTGCAAAACTGCATGAACAGTTGCAGACCATGGGAGGAGCTGAGAGTTTGCAAAACATTGCTGTATCCATGCATCTGTAAGAGGATTCAAGCATCCTCTAACTGATGTCATCCACCTAAATCATGAAAGTCTAGCCCAAAAGCCCGATGGCATGCTTTTGTAAAGCTCGCAGTGTCTCCAGCACACACCGACTGAGCTAGCCCTGGCTTTCTCTGTTGCTCCTTCTCTCTTTCTATATATATATATATATATCTCTGTCCGTTTCAGTCCAAACTCATTAGGACAAGGCAGATACGTTATTACCAAAACAGACCACCAATGAGTGACGCCCTGCGCCCACACTGCAATGGCTGCTGTCCGGATCGAGCTGCTCCACCTGGGGGCCACTGCAAGTCGATGCCGTTTCGGGTTTTGGTGTGGTGGCACAGGCCACTCGTCGAAAGGAGCTTGGAACTGTAGGGCTGCAGCAATGGCTTCCAGCGTTGACATCCAGGACCTGGGTCCGGAAGGTGCTCAGCGACGTCATGCAGAGCATGTGGAAAAAGGTTTCTGATGTGGAGCCGCTCGCTCTCGCTGGCAGTCATAAGCTGAACGCGAAGTCCAAGAGTCAAAATCCCCAAGCCTACAGACGGATGCTCGAGATCCGAATTAATAAAGCTCTGGCAGGACTTGCAGGCAGCATGGGAGTTGAAGACTGAGAGTGCTGCTGCATCAAGTGACAGTTGGAAAGCAGCACCCAGCCTGATATCGCAACAACAGTCTGACTCGCTGGGACTTCTTCTGCTGCTGCATGTACAAGACACTTGCTATGACATTGTCATGTTTCAGCCGTAAGCAGGTCCCCAGCCCCTCAACCAATCAGACCGATTGGCTTCGCATGAATACCAGCTAGGCAGGCACTATGAAATCTTGGAGTCAGCCCTGCAACTTGATGCGGAGCAACACAGCAACAGCATCAGCAGGAGAAGGAGCAGGAGCAACACCTCCTGCTCCTCCTCCTGACGCTGCTGCTTCTCCTCAAGCAGATACATAGAGCGTACTGTCGCTGATCAGATGTCGTACAGACCCTCAAGCCGGAAACGATCCTTCACCCTGCAGATACTTAGGAAACTGTCAGCCGTCCGAAGGTCAAAGCCCTGAAGCCCAGGCTCGCCCTGGCCTCCGCTCTGCCTCGCCGAGTCGATCATTCGCTGGGCTTTGGGCCCTTGCCCCTGCCTCAGGAAAAAAGGGCACCTCTTCTCTCTTCCGCCACTGCGACGCTGGAGGCTCGATTGTCCGCTCAGTGTCTGGAGATCCCCACATCACTGTGGGTCTGTGAGTTTAGAAGCGCACCCCAACGAGATCGGCTCAAACTTCTTCGACATTCCCAGCCTCAGAAGCGAGCACACGTTCTCTGGAGAACGGGTCGCCAGGGCAAACGAGAGCATCCCAAAAGCTTAGGGTAGAACGTTTTCGCGTTTGTGAAAATATTATGCGAAGTCACAGACACGTATGCATGCAAATTCGCTTAGATAATGCCAACGTACATGCCTCTGCAAAGAGCTGCAACTTAATGCTCCGTACGATACAAAGAGAAAGCCATGAACATCTTGCAGCCCGGAGACTGCTCGGCGAAGCGGATCACATCGGCCACTGGGTCGGTGCCCGGGCTGAGGATAAATATCAGGGGCGTCGTGCTCACCTCAGGCGCAAAGAAGGTTAGGTGGAGCTAACTCCCTATTATTTTAAAGCTGCCGCTAAATGAGTACACAAGGTCTGGGGAGTGTGGGTGAAATTGGAGTGTTGACAGAAACGGGTCATTCGGCTCTTCTTCTGGGACTTGTCTCGCGTGGAGGCTCGGAGCAGACGAACATAAACGGATAAAGAGGAGCCTTCTTTGGTGAAGAGCTGCAGCCTTTAAGATCTGAAGTGCAAGCAAGAAAGTTGAACATCTTAGGTCAGAATATAGAGAATCATCCTTGATGCATGTCCCAACTTGTTGGAGTTTAGGGTAGGCATTGATACTCTTGATGAATAATGAGGCTCCCACCTAAAAGCCCTCAGATTTGCCCTGATTGTAAGAGACTCGTCCTCTCTGCCTTCAACCTTGAATCTCAGGATCCGAACTCAGAATCGGGGCTTGGGGATAAAGCTAACAGTGAAAGTAGCGAACGTGGGATAAGACTCACTGTGCAATTCAGGTGCGCTCCTTGATGCTCTAGGTGATGTCATGATTGTAAGGTCAGCAAAGCATGCGATTTCTTAGCAAGCACCTGAAACCTCAAAGTAGAGTCTCAGTTGTAGCTAAGACGAAACCTCACCGGCAGGGCCCCATGCAGAGTCGGCATAGGACTTCGCGATGTCAAAGGTTGGGGGATCCACGAATTTGGACCCAATCTCCTGGCGCAGATGTCCACTGCAAGCAGACTGATACAGAAGCACGGAACTGTCGACATCGATGTGGAATGAACACCTTGGTCGACGTCAACTCGGCCGTCACCACCGGCTGATGAAACAAGAGCCCGCCCCAGTGCTTAATGGGCTAGTGAGCGGCTAGTGGCCTTGCTGATGAACTCGATCACGGCATTCTTCAGGCAATCGATTCGGAAGCTGCGGATGAAGCCTGGCAGCCGAACTAGAGTCAAGCTTTCCAGCCTACAAGTAAGGCTGCAGGGCTTTTTCTGACTGGCTGCTAGAAGCCCCCGCTGCCCTCAACTCCAGGGCCTGGATTATAGAGCAACCATGCCTCAGCGGGCTTCATCAGGGACGAACCAGTAAGAAATGCCCCGGGGCACCACGGGACTACGTGATCCGAGTACTCCTCCGACAATTTCGTGTACTTCACACGACAAATGGTGAGCACTGGACAAGTTGACTCAGTATCCGCTTCAAATTGGAATGGCTCATCGGGGGTGCTGTTCAGAAAGCGGCGTGAGCAATCACGGCTTGTTGCTCACTTTCCTTCCCGGCATAGTCGTGGCAGATGTAACGGCAGCCCTCACGATCTTGGGCAGCCAAGCCCAAGGTTGGCTCCGGCTCAACAGCGATGACAGCCGCTGCTCTGTGACAGTTGAAGGTTTGTGTAGCTCTCAAGCTCGAGCTGCGATAGGGGGTGGGTCTGCGGTCTGCTTGCGCTGAGCACTGATACTGTATCACCCAGTAGTCGAAACATGAGAGCAGCTTTGTGCAGCTGCCGGCCACAGGAAGTCGGACATGGTGAATGAGCGCAAAGGTCGTTCGTAGAGCCGCTCCAGGAGCTCTGAAGTTTGCAGAATTGAGGGGCGATTCTACAAAACGCGGAGCATGTCATCGGAGAGCTCAGGTGGAATGTAGCTGGGTCCTCGCAGCATCGGGTGACAGCTGCACTAGAAGCTCTACAAGAATCTGCACTGGCACTTGCAGCCTGCAGGTACATGCATTCAGGGCATATCATAACAACTATAACTACGAATTGTTTTAGTGCTGATGCAAAAATGCTGCAAGATGTTATGTCTCAAGCAACATCCAGCATGTGAATTTTCACAGCCTCCGAATCCTCAGCCTTCAGCACGCCTTTTAATGCAAGCAGTTCGAGAAGCACCCATTGGCGTCCTGCTCTTTCTCCCTGCACGCGCTGTCTGTGTGGCCAATGTTTGGTTGTGATGCCCTCGGCGACAGCCTTTCAAGGACTAAGCCATAAGAGAAACAGCCTAGCATCTCTTCTGCTGTTCGGAGCTATAAGAGAGAAGCAACATTCAGTCCCTCAGCCTTGCATGATATGACATTGAGGTCTGTTGCGAGAAGCTATGTTGAGTCATGATGCGTTGCATTCTGTTAGTCTTGCGCAAGCTGCGGCCTTCAGCCTCCATTCCGCCAGCTGCTCCTGGCAGGCAAAGAGACCATCATGCAGTGGACTCAGTCTGTGGCCCAAACCGGCTTGGCTTGGACTTGGATCTGCTGGGGTCGTCGATGCTAGATTCAGGTTCAATACTGCGTTCACTTTCGGGACCTACGGTAGCAAGTGTTCATGACAAAGCTCGAGAACAACCCCTACTTTGAATGCCGTTCTTTAAACCCTAAACCCAAACCCGAAAGCCCAATGACCCACATCCTGACAGATTGTTCGTCTCCCGCCTGATCCTCAGCAAAGCTGCGCGGAACCATGCAAACCTTTGCATAGTGACATGCTTGTGTCGTTCGCTCATTTCTTTCTGCTGAGCTCTAGGCCCAGTCTTCTGCTAGGAATTCTAAGCCCCACAAAGATGTTTGTGATGTCCATGATTTTGGAGCGGAGTTGCTTATCTGCTGTGGCTTCGTGAGTTGACTCAGGAATACGAGCCGCACATGTGATTGGGCATTACCGCCATATCAACTGCAAACGTGACTGGGGAAGCAGCTGCTTTACACGCCCAAGAAGACATTATTCAGATGCAAGAAGTTGACAAACGTGATTTAGACTGAGATTGTCGACGCACGCGACGCTGCACACTCCTTCCATTTTGCCACTGTGGTCGTCAATCGTTGGCTTGTTCTGTCCCTCTGCCTGAAGTCATGTGACCGGAACGGCCACGCGCAGCAGCTCGGGTGCTGTCGGCTGAGCAGCTTCCTGTCCTGCACTGCCAGGAAACAAATACTTATTGCGGCAAGACTGATGGCAATGATACTGAAGATGATGGCTACGGACTGGATGGGTATCAGTGACAGCATAAGTTTAAAAACAAGTTGTTATATACTGCTCCAGGTATGTGCCATTGCCTCACACCCTATCCTTACTTAAACTCGATACAGAAAAGCAATCGCTTGCATGTTGTGACTGCATATCTCGACCCGAGGATCTTCTGTGAGAGAGTATAGGTCTAGCACTATCTTCCATTTCCGCCCAATTGGCGTTGTGCCGTTGTGCATGTGACTGGCATAGCGAATGATGTTCAAACTCCGATTGATTTCATGATGCTGTTGACGATGAGTGCTGATTCAACTGGGTGTAGCTGACTCCGAACACGTGCTTACAATACGGGTTGTCACCGGCTGTATTTTATCCAGGTTTTCATGCCTGAGAAGCTGGAGGATCTGGGGCAGGCCAGAAAAATGATCTCAGGCCACAGGTGGGCGTGGGGCTGGTCGCGTAGGAACCTTGCCAAAATCTTCCGACCAACATCGACATCATCGACACACAGTTTACGAAGAGCAACCGAGCAACTCACCTAAGACGCGGGACACTGAAGGCCTAAACCCAGAAATAGCAAAAAAAACCGGCACGCGAACAAATCAAGGTCCAAGGGAGGAGGGAGGGAGGGAGGGAGG